AAAACATGAGTTTTAATATCACATGAAAACGAGGCCAATGGGTCAAAAGTAAATAAACGGTAAGGTCTATTGAGTTTCAATATAGGTAACTCTCCCATTAATGTTTAGTAACATTGTCTGGTTTTTTAGACAGAGTAAGATAAATATGAGCACACTATTGAGACACAGTGCAGCTTCCAACATTCCTCTCAATGGTCTATCATTATCTAGGTGAAATATGAAACAAATGGTGTTCTGTAATTGTACTCTGCCTGATATTGCTGATTAGGGAAAGTCCATGAACATATAGTTCCGCATGTTCCTTTGTCAAATAAAATTGCCTGGTGTTAGAGAGATTTGTAGGTAGGGTGCATAGCAGCTTATTAAATGGTTAAGTAGCAACATTCCAGCTCACAACAGTATAGTATAGTATAGTATAGTATAGTATAGTATAGTATAGTATAGTATAGTATAAGCAAAATTTGCGACTTACCACTCATAAAGTTTTGCAGTTTCATGCAAACGCTTCAATATCTCGTCTTTAATGATCTCGTTCGACCTCATGTCCACTCCTCATCAGCGACAGGATCATCAACCCAAGCATAGCTGCATAGGCATGATATAAAGGCATCATCATCGCTTGAAACCAGATATATCGGTTTCTAAGCCTTCTATCCCTACATTTTGTCATATTCTGATAAATAATCGTTCCCTGATGCGAACGAAGAAGCCTCGGAAGATGCATCCGTCGAAGACATTGCAAAAAGATATAAAAAACCGCGAATTATTCTTCGAAATTAAAGCTTCTTTGTAATGGTGTTTACAAGGAAGCTTCGCATGAGTTCACCAATTGACGTCACACATTCCTCTCTCACCAGTCTCCCAAAACTCGGTCGTGGAACAAATGTGTGCAAACTTTGAGAAGCCATAGAATTGCGAGAATTCAACCGATTAAAAAAAATTTTCCAGTTTTGTACTCCATAAATAGCGGTTATTTATTATATGAAAAAAAAATTTAGGGGGTTAGTGGCACTTTAAGAACAGCATCATGTCAACATTTTTTGCCTTCAGGAGCCTTCAGTCTGTTGCCTTCATGAAGCATTAAGTGATTGGTCAGGAATACTGACCAAAAACATCGCAGGCTCAAGTGGTATCGAATTACCGGTACTTTTTGCGAGTATCGAAAGTATCGATACTTTTGTAAGTATCGATGATTTCGATACTTTTTCGATAGTATCGCCCATCACTAATCAATGGTACGTATCTTTTCTGTTTGTTGCTTTCGATATAATTTTGTCGATTTTTTAAAACTGTTTTAACTTTTACTACGTTTTTACTACGTTTTTACTACGTTTTTACTAGTTTTTAGTTTTGCTAAGGTTCCCTGAATCTTGACAATTGTAAGACAATGATAGAAAGAATTTGACAAATTTGAGCTTGAAATCCCCGGCCAAATTTCCAGAATTTTGGCCGGGGCCGGGCCGGGGGTGCCAATTTTGGCCGGGGCCCCGCTCGAGCCCTGATGTCTGATATTATACCTGGTTGCATGAAGACACTAGACTGGAGTGTTCAAATATTGGATCGTGGATGTAACTTTGTCCAGGGATTGCAATCATTAAACCAGAGTATAGTAACATATCTGATATTATACCCTGGTTGCATGAAGACACTAGACAGGAGTGTTGAAACGTTGGGTAGTGAATGCAATTTGTTAAAGCACGGGCAATAGGACAGGTGTAGTGTTGTTAAATAGAAAGTTAGAAATGGTATTATACTTACTCATGTATTATAATTATGTTTAAAAGATCAGAATATTCATAACTTCTTATTTTGTTTCATAAATAGTTCTTTAATATTCGAAACAAATTCCACATCTGCTTCGTCTGCCATCGCCATGTTTACTCGTCCCAATCTACATGCTGCACGGCATTGCCGCCCCTCCTGTCAAAATAATAAGCAAGCGAGAAAAATTAAGGAGAAAATAAGAGGGTAGGAACATCGTTGTCGTAAGCTGGATGCAGTGACACTTCCATATATGGCACAAACCTATCCATAACTTCCATATATGGCACAAACGTATCCTCGACGCGTTTTATAACGTTTTATTTTGACGTAGGGATGACGTGTTATGCTGCTTCCCCCCTATGACAATTTGAATTAGTCATGTGATACAAGATTGCGAAAGCTGATTCGCCCAGAACGATGACAGGCCCATGAAATGCCCACAATGTTCCGACCCTCTTATTTTCTCCTTAATTTTTCTCGCTTGCTTATTATTTTGCCAGGAGGGGCGGCAATGCCGTGCAGCATGTAGATTGGGACGAGTAAACATGGCGACGGCAGACGAAGCAGATGTAGAATTTGTTTCGAATATTAAAGAACTATTTATAATACAAAATAAGAAGTTATGAATATTCTGACCTTTTAAACATAATTATAATACATGAGTAAGTATAATACCATTTCTAACTTTCTATTTAACAACACTACACCTGTCCTACAATCTCGAAACCAGAGCCCGCAATCCTCTGTGGAGGCTTGCTGAGGCTCTGGGAAACACCGGCGACTTTTGCACGAAAATCAGTACATTTGGATCCAGTACTCCGCTCGACATTTATAAATAGACATTACTGCCGTCAAACATGAATTATGCCGTTGTTTAAGCTTATTACGACTTTAATTCTTCAAAGAACACTTGCCATGGTTTTGAATTGTTGTAAGATATTGGTAGTGATTTATTTTAACTTGTTTAATTACGGTAAATCATGGATTGTTGTGTTATTTTAAATAATATAGGCAACGGCTTATCATGACCTAATATGGTAATATGCTGCACTGTTATTCTAATTTTGTTATTGGCATATCAGATTTCATATGAGAAGCTAGGAAAGCTTAATAAGTTTATTAAAGTTATGCTGTGTGTTCCATTGATATGTTTAAACATAATACACAAAGAGAAATAAACTTTATATTAATTTTAAACGAATTTTAAACGATGTTTGATATTTGAATCACTATATACGGCTCAAAGTTTGAATAATAATTAGCACTTGAAAAACAACCAATCAGAGCCCGACTTTCACTGGTGTTTCCCAGAGCCTCAGCAAGCCTCCTCAGAGGATTGCAGGCTCTGGTTTCGAGATTGACCTGTCCTATTGCCCTATATTACATTCACTTACTTAAACCAGAGTAGCGAAACATATCTGATACTATATCTGGTTGCATGAAGATTTATTTACTTAAACCAGAGTAACGAAACGTGTGAGACACTAAAACAACTCAAAGGAACAAAATATGGAAAAGCAGTTACTGCATAGTTTGAAATGTTCTTTCCAATGCATGAGAATAAACATTTGGGCATTAGGGCAAATTTAACACAAACGTACCCGAACTGCTTCCCTTACTGAGTTTCCTTGTAAGTTTTTTAATGAAACTACTCTTCTGTTTTCTAGTACTTGGCGATGTCACAGGACTTGTTTCTCTCCTAGTGGCTGGCAGAGAAATAGATTGTTTTGTATGACTGCTCTGTTTGCTCATACCTGGCGACGTCACAGGACTTGTTTCTCTTCTAATGGCTGGCAGAGTAATAGGTTTTTTTGTACCACTGTTCTCTTGGTTAGGACCTGGCAACGTCACATAACTTGTTTCACTCCTTGTGGCTGGCAAAGTAGTAGATCGGCTTTCTTGACGAGTCACTTCTACAGGCCGTGTAAAAAGGTTACGATCAATATCTACGTAATTATCTTCGTCCAGATACTCGTCAGGCTCAACGTAGTTATTGTTGTTTTCAGCAGAAGTGCATGGAGCAGCACGGTTGCCAAAAAATGCCTCAGCATAAGGAATAGCTTTGACAATACAGGCTTGAACATCGTCATATATCTAGAAAACAAATACAGATATACAAATATGCACGCCTGTCCAAAATTTAAACCCCTCTTGTGGATTGGACATTTTCACTATACAGGTAGGTCCATGATATGGCAAGTTTTGATAATGTTAAAGGATTCTGTAGATGGAAATTTCGGGTGTAAATTCTATACATTTATCAGACCTAACCAAGAAAATGCAATTATAAGCCTTCTCCTACGAAAAATGAAACTACAGGGTGTATAAAAAAAACGGAGTCCTCACATGAAGTGTAAATTTCAAAGCAAATATGAAAGTTAGACGTTTATACTTGCATTCTTTCGAAATCGCGATCTTTCGGCTATTTTATATACTTTATTTTATAAAATTTGGAGTTATTGCTGGCGAGCTGTGTCAATTTAAGTAAGTGCAATTGGAAAATTAAAAAACGTAGATGTGTTAAATTCACAATTTATTCAAACGTTCCAAAAATAAGTTGGAAGTACACATTTACTCAACGTGGCCTCCATTTCTAAGTTCACACAAGTTCGTTCTTTGTCTCATATCCAAGACAAGTCTTCTTCTTCCCGAGTTTCCTTTATTTCGATTTAAACTTTATGGGGTGGTTCTTCCATTCAAAGCATATGCAGCCGATACTTGTTGACATTACGCCAAACGCTCGATGAAGATTACGTCCTGGAAAAGCTATTTGAAATTGTCTTAACACTGCAACAACGCTTTTTGTTTCGAAATACTTTTCAACAATGAATGTTCTTTCCGGAATTGTTATCTTTGGCATTGTGAATGGTGATTGTAAAGTTTTAAACAACAACGTTCTAAATTTTAGCAAGCTACCTTTTATTAAGTCCCCAAGGGACTTCGAAAATTAATATTTCGAAGCGTCTAAAAACGAGCGCTTGTACTAAATTCTTTTTATTGCGATTAGCCTTAGTTCAAAATTTTCAAGAAACCCTTCATTCGAAAGATGAAAAAACAAGCTTTAAATTGAACACAAAACGAAACTATGGTAGACTCGGGTTTTTTTATACGCCCTGTACAGGGTGTTAGCCAGGATTTCAAAAGTGGCCGTCCAAAATGTTTTTTTGGGCGTGGTCACACATTTTTGTGGGCGTGGTCACATGTTTTTGGGCGTGGCCGCAATTTTTTGTTGTTGTGGAATTGTGGTGTTCTATTCGTTGAACCATTTTACTTTTTGATCCACACACGTCCGTCGATACTTCAATTCAGCCATATTCAACGTGTTTTCGACGGGAAAAAGTATGAAAACATATACCATAAGTAAAGTAAACAGCAGATGACAACAATTCGAAGTATTCAAGAAATATTACAAAGCTTGTAAATAGACCTTTCCCCTTATAACCAAAATTTTGATCTAGGCAAGTCTAGACAAATATTTCATCACAGCTTGAAAGAGCATCACAAAATTAGTAATATTCCAAAGTTTCGTTGCGAAATGTTGTAAAATGAGGAAAATAGAGCCTTGCGAAGTTTGCAATTTTCAGTCATTTTGCATTACAAACGGGAAATTGCAGCTCCAACACCCGAATCGGATGTCAATTTCCCGTTTGTAATACAAAATGACTGAAAAACGGCAAACTTCGAAAGGCTATATTATCCGCATTTTACAAGATTTTGCAACAAAACTTTAGAATATCACTAATTTTGTGATGCTCTTTCAAGCCGTGATGAAATTTTTGTCCAGATCGAAATTTTAGTTATAAGGGGAAAGGTCCATTGCTATTTAAAAAAACTATTCCCTTTGGCCGTCCATTAAAATGTAGCCGTCCAAATTCAGAAGTGGCCGTCCCTAGGACGGTCGGACGGCCGCCTGGCCAACACCCTGGCCCTGTATAGGTCCTCTGGCAGGAATCGAACATGCGGCCCTGCGATTCCGGTGAAGCGCTCTAACCAACTGAGCTACAGAGTCCAGTTGTCCAACTCTGACCGCAAATTCATGTATTTTACGGTGATGCCATGGAAAGGTATATGAGTAAATATCAAGGTTTTTGGGGCATCTTAATCGATTGAACTTAAACCAGAACCTAACTCGATTGATCGTAGGGCCGCAGATTTGATTCGTTATTTGAAGCACGTTTGCGAAAGGCAAGGCTTTTTTAATACAGGGTTCGTAAATGTGAAGAAGAATCAAATTCAAGAACTTTCAAGAACATTCAAGGCCATGTATCAGCAAATTCAAGGACTAAATACTGATGAAAAGTGGTTAGAAATCAGTAAAATCTGATGTTAAATTTTTCAATAACGCAACTTTAATAAGTTTCAAACAGCTTTGTCAGATATGAACAAACAACATCAATTCAACAAAATGTCCGTTTTGAATGTCAAACAATTTCAGAAGATATCCAAAAACTAAAGCAAGAAAAATGGGGAAGAAATGACCCCCGCCCCTCCCCAGTGGTTCTGGACTGGACACTTATTAGAAGAGGCTAATTGAGGAAATACGGTAATAACTAACCTCTTCATCTTTTTCTATGGTCTCCTCAACTTTCTTCAAATCAACTTTCATATTTAGATTCTCACACAACTTACGATACTCAGGATGTGCCAGTGTCGTTTCTTGCGGTGCTATCACCGTAACATCTAGGGCACTGGGAAAAGTCAATATTGAATTAGAATCCACATCCCGCGAAGTTGCAATTACAGTTTGCTTGATTATAACTTTTTTCAAATGTATCAAACCCCGTGCGAGTTGGACGGACGAATTGGCCTGTTGTATAAATTGGACAGTAAGAGGTAGCGAAAAGCGGTGATATACTTCAGCGATGAACACGGGATCTTCGGTTTTTTCAATCACTTTGATTGCGCTTAGCTGATGCATCTCTAAAGTTACTTCACACCCATTCTTATCGACGCAAACTAAATTCTTCCTATCCTTGTCAAAATATAATGCTCGTAGCGTCTCCCCAGCTTCGATGGTTTCAGTATTGTCAGATGAATTCTCTTGGCTGCTTTGTAAGCGCACGTGTTTATATTTCTGTGGAAAGAGAACACTCAATTCCCTTGGCGAGTCGTACTTTTCTAACCTCTTCTCTGAGAAAACATGGACTTTATGAGGCGAGTTTAAAGGGATGTGTAGCTCCTCGCCCGTCTCTGTGATTCCAGAGTAACATTGTGTGTCTTTAAGAAGATGCAAGTTAAGTTCTTGACCTCTGGACAGCGTGGTTTCATCCGTTTCCCCGTATAAACCTTCACCTACCTGTTGTAAAAAAACAAGTTAGATTATGTTGTTGGTTTACTCTATTTATTAATAGCAGGGGTGCAGAAAGTATCGGACCACGGGACCATTGGTCCCAGAAAATATTTCCCCAAGAAAGTAAAACAAGATTATATATTGTAAAAATTGAGGTAAAGGAGAAGGAAATATTCTAACCAATAACAAGAATGTCACCTGTAGTGTAGGTATGACCTCAGAAATGCAATTATAAGTGTATCCATCATATCTTAATAGTGCAATAGTGAATAATTGTATAGACTTTAAATGATGTAACAAATGTTGTTTGGCAAATTTTTATAGCTAATCTGGCACACCTCATTTCCAAAACGTTCTGGAAGGAAGCATGAATCCCCTGGTCGTGCCCCCTCCCCCCGGAGTACAATTTTTGGCATTTGTATTTACCTTGGGATGCAGGTTATCTAAATTAGTTTTGTTATATTCCTAAAAGTATTAACTGCATTATTAAGATTCTCCAGTGCAAGGATCTGTAAGAAATATTTTGAAGGATTTGTAAGAAATGTTTGAGCGAATTGACTTAATGTTAAACACCATTGAAGTCAGTTCCCTCAAACAGTTCTTACAAATCCTTTACAACATCGAATTTACAGAAACTTTGATAGTGTAAGTCAGGCTTTATATGTTCAAGATTTTGAATTTTTGTTTTCAAATTTCAGGACTTTCAAGTTTCGGTACGAACGTTTATAAAAGATTTATACATATCGTAAGTTCCAAACATTCATATATAAAATGGTAAAACTACATCATATAGCTAAGTTAACTCAGAGACCCTAAGGATAGTCAGAATAGTGAGAAGTATATACTTTATAGCTACAACAATTATATTTTAAGTTATAATATTATATTTCAAAGATGAGGTACAGTCCCTTCGAACATGTCAGCTTTATTTATATTTTTGTATACTATTAAGGTTACAGGACACCCTTTTTGGCGTTTTGCGGAAAATCGCTACTGCGCGCTCAATATCAGTCCGATTTTCATCAAATTTTCACCAAATGTTCTCCAGTGCATGCAAAATATGGTAAAGTTGTAAAATTGACAAACAATAAAATAATGTAAGAGTTATTCAGGAAAATCTTAAATCGCGGTACCTTTACGCTTTTGAGTTGTGCTCCTGCTGGTTTTAAGTTATATTTATGAAAATATCATATTTATACAGTAAAATAGTTGTTCTAAAAAATTGTGTTCGGAAATTTTTGTTTATTTCGTCATTCCGCTGATATGGCGATTTCTTTGACGACTGCAATATATTTCTGAATTGTTTGAGTGAATTGCTCTTTATTTTTAAAATATCCAAAATTAAAAAAAAGCCGAACACAATTCTGAAACTGACGTATTTAGGGACGGACCATTTGATTTTTCATGGGGGGGGGGGGCGCAAATCCGAAAAAAAATATCGAGCATGTCTCGAATGGAAGAAAAAAATATCGAACATCACTAACAGCAGCAAAAAAAATATCGAGCACAAAAAAATTCTAAATTAGCAATACTCTATATTGAAAGAAAAATTCAGTTTCCCTTTTAAGATTATGTTTAATGCATGGTACAGTATACTACGCTTTAAATTCTCTTCTCTGCCTGGCAGTTAAAAACTACTTACAAGTTTGAGTGATGAGTACGTCCGACGATCTCCGAAAGGCCTCCAAAGTTTCTACTCTTGTGCAATCGAGTGAGATCGATCATATAAATTATTATCGCGTATTATGTCCATTATCACTATTATAAAATAGATCGGAATAAACAAATCAAAATCACAGTTCACGAAACAGACATCCTTAATTCCCATTTCACGGAACATTTTTTATCGACAATCACGCCTCACGGCTGTAGAACAAATCACAGATCATGACAGTAAAATCAAGCATTTCACACGATCAAATATTGACCATTCACGCAGTGGCGTAGACAGGGGGGGCTCAGCCCCCCCCCCCAATAGGCTGATGGACTGCCCTTGTAAAAAGATGAAATCCGGGTAGAAATTAGGGGGGGGGGACGATGACTACCCATGTGACTACCAATCTCATCTGTTCACCAAATTGTCTATAAAAGTTCTAATCTTTCCTAAATCTAACTACATAAAATAATGCCTATGGTGGTTATTGGTTAAAATGCGTTTTAAAACTTCGATTTAGCTATTCACACGCGACCAAGTAGTGAGTCAAATTAAGGATCCACATTATTGAGAAATCATTAAAAATCAGGTCTTTCCTGCAGTAAATAATCTTCAGAATTATGCAAAATCTCTCCCCAGAAACACGGGAAATCGCCATTGAGGGACTCCAGATTTCAAAATTTTCCCGGGGAAGAATGCCCCCGGACCCCCCTAAAAAGGCTTACGCCTTGGGCGTTCGATATATGCCCTCCCAAAAATTATAGTCTGGCTACGCCACTGCATTCACGGTAGCCTGCGAACAGCATTCACGGTAGCCTGCTCATTAATATCGCTCTCTGATTCTCAATAAAAATCGCAGTTTATAATACGTAATGGGAACACTGATACGATTGGGAACCGTGAGAATTTGTATATAGATGCCATTACGCCAATGCAAAATGGGTTACACACTTTAATACACTTGATCCAATTTTGATTGGGACTATGGTCTACATTTCGTAGACCATAGCCCGTATAAAATGGGCCAAGTATAAAATTGGCCACGTATAAAATGGGCTGTGATAGTTATATCATAGAATAGGAAGGTATACCAGAAGTCTCACTCAAGCAAGTATTTGTCCGCGTTTTTACAAGCGATTCGTCCGATCATCAATCACGCCATCCTGGCCAGTACAACCGGCACTTTGTACCTATCAAAACCTGATAAAAATTTCCGGCTGTACTAGCCAGGATGGCGTGAGCGAGTTAAAATTTTCGTGGGTTACACTTCTGCTATACTTTCCTATTTTGTGGTTATATGCTGTATATTCAAATACATTCTTCAACCGGAATATAACCATACGTGGTTATTATTGTACTAACGCTATAGTAAAAATTTAAAAAAATATCGTGCACGCAGCAAGATTCGATAAAAAAAAATCGTGCGGAGTCGGTGAGGTCCAAAAAAAATCGAGCACTCTCAAAAATGCGCCCCCCCCCCCATGAAAAATCAAATGGTCCGTCCCTTAGCTATGCCCTGTAAAAATTTGAGAAAAATTGGTTAAAACCCGCAGGAGCACAACTCGTTTGAAAATCAGTAATTACCGTAAAATTTTTCGTGAGAAAATTGAATTTGAATATTACATTTTCAATGTTTTTCTTATTGCAGCGAAATGTATTTTACTAAATAACTCTGCGAGTTTTCAACATTTTTCGTTCAAAATTGGTCAGATAGTAGAACTAGTCTAATGCTTTCATTGAAACCAATAAAAAAATTTTAGGCAAAATTAACACTCAAAGGTGTTCTGTAACCTTAATAAACGAAGTTGTGACAAATGACAATTCTCTTGGGTCTTCTGGCCCCTTTTCATATGGCTTTGGAGATTCGCATTTCCCGATTGCGAAACTTTTCTCTTCCTCTTTCCAGTGAATATCTTTCACAAATAAAAATAATTTTTAAAAAGCGGCGCCATCAAATAAGCAGCAGACTGTCGCAGCGCTCAGACGAGTAAACACGGTTGGCAACTGACCAAACTATATGGGATTATTATAAAACACACCCCACTGGGGAAGTATGCATGCAGTCTCCGATTGCCTTATGAGGAAGCTTGATTATTGCAGTCACATGAACAATCGATGCACTACAATCCTGGTCAAAACATATTGGCAAACTGTACATCAACAGTGCTCGGAATTTGACACCCAACGCTGGCGACGCAATAAAAAGCATACCCCCACCCCCCATCCACACAATGCTGTGTGTAATTAGACTCTCAAGGTGTTACACTATATGAATGGAGAACGAGGGTCTGAACATAAAATTGTGAATACAATGCGCCTATGCGTACAATTAAATAAGAAATCTGTTACGGAAAGTGCTATTTTTACTAAGTGTGTCATGGATTTTTGATCAGAATTGTAGATTTCCCTAAGAAATTTTTGCAGCGCATTTTTTCACTGATGATCAGAAGGCGGATCCGCCACTATCTTGAATGTGTTTAAATATACATACGATCATTGCGCACTGAAAATATACATCCTATTTCTTCTTCAAATTTTCACCAAATGCTCCTCAGAATATCAGAAAGCTGTCAAATTTACAAAAGAGCAAACTCGTTCCATTGTCCGGTTACATTTCACTTCTCAGACACGAAATCGTTCCGTCAAATTTGAAGACGGCTCCAAAATCCGGCATATACTCAACGCATTTGATAAGCTTATTTCCACAGAGTAAACCATGATAATACAGCCTTGATTAGTGTATTATTACTATATATAATGTGGATATAAAGTGGCCTAACTATAGCCGAAACTACAAGATTTAGTCGGATTGACCCATAATTGGCATTGAGTACCAGTCTTTCCCCGATCATATGCCGTTAGACATTAGACAGTTCTAGGAAAATAGTCTGGCGTTGTAGACAGAGAAAACAACAAATCATGCACGCAATGCCCACTTAAAGGGTTAATACTAATCTTTCCTGGGCGTTGCCGTGAAGAATACTTTCTCACGAGTCCTAAAAATTCCTTCACATACAAGTTTTTAAAGTTATTTTAACTGGCCCAAATCTATAATTGAGTATATCATAGTGTCTAATACGAGCATCCAATCAGTTTATTGACGTTAATAGAATCGTGACTACTTTGTAAGAGTTTGTATACATGCCCAGCTCGTACATGCATGTACGCTCCAGACTTAATCTTTCGAGCAGATTATATAATATAGCCGGGTAACAAAATCAAAGCACATTTGTCATTTGCAAAGCGAGTTACGATAACATTAATCTAATTTTTTTTAATGTAAATATTCCGCAGTACATGTTATGATATATGCCATGGGCAAGACGGAAAGAAATTTTAAAAATACAAAAAAAACTCAATCAAGATTAAAAAACTCACGCAACATTGTTTTCAAATTGGCCTTGTAGCTCAGACGATAGAGCATCGTTTTGGAAAATTGAAGGTCGCGGGTTAACTCGTAAGAAGATCAAACTTTACATCATGTATTATTAGGTTTATACCTAACTAATTTATCAATACACAACACAACAATTGTGATATTACTTTCTTAACTGTGTTTATCCTAACCCACGCACCCTACCCTGAGCAAACCCACAAGTTTTGGCACAACTTTGACCAAACTCTTTTCACACGAGTGGGCAATGAGAATCGAACCCAAGATTTCAGAGATGAAATATTTTTAAGGCACTTGCTAAGGCACTTGCGAGTGACCTATGACGATTGCTACAACACACTTAAGATACTTAATAACACACTCAACAATTATTATACGGCACATGAATTACGAATATGCAAATATATTTCGAGCAATGGAACATAGTTAAGGCCCTGCGGATAATCTAAATGAACCAAATAATATTACATTTGTTATTGCGTGTTTCCATGTGATTGTAAGTAATAATTTGCAACATATGTAATATATATATACCAGGGTAACATATTTACCACAACAATTCAAAAGGAAAGACGACGTGAACTATATCTACATCGCTGTATACATATGCTAAATAAGAAAACACATATGCTATAAAGTACATAATTTCGAAAGAGAAAGAATGCAATATTAATCGTAAAATCAAGGATATAAATTAAGTGAATATGGAACCCCAACGATACTAACGATATAATTTAACTAATATATGTTACTATAACTTCCACACGAAACTAAGCCTTCGCTTGGAACGTCAAAGTCATGTTGATATCGTTCAGGTACTTGCCGACTACACACAATTGCATTCTTCGCTATCTCAACAATGGCGTCCAAGCATGCAACGTTCGAGATTTTAATTAAGTGGCAACCGATGACATTACACGTACATAAACTTTATGAATTATTACCGAGTACTTCTCAAGAGAATATAATATGAGAATATAAGAGAATATTTTCAAAGTTTCTACTACAGTAAAACAAATACATTAAAAGTTTAGTTTTTGATATCACATATTCCGTGATGCATTTGCATGTAAAGACTTGCATGTAAAGCTAGACGTAATTCGTAAGACGTAATCTCTACCTATCCGCGGCTATCATATCATTTGTCCGAGGTCCTATCAGCTATATTATACAGTAGGTGCACTCCACACAAGTATCTACTATATATATATATATATATATATATATATATATATATATATATATATATATATATATTAGGTTAACGTGTGGAATGTTATGGAAAGTTAGCTGAAGGATACTCAGGTAACAGTGAATAACAATTATATTATTACCTTATCAACTATATCTGTTTTTAACGCACCGTTACAACGGTAATTTCGCTACATTATGTACTGATATCATTCAATTATTCCAGTACTGCAAACCCAACACATATATTAGGGTACATTTACCGCACAAACTGCAAAGGAAAAGTGAATTATTTCACAAACATCAAGTACAAACAGAGCATATTAATTACCTGAACAATCTGTGGTAGCGTGAATCTTTCCACAAATGACGACAAGGGAACTTCATTGTCGCTCCACGACAATTCCATGATTATCAATGTTTTCTCATAAACCACAAAGCGGCTTTTGGTACGTTCTTGCCTATTAGAATTTCAACCTCGTCGTCGAGCAAATGTTGTTGTGCCTTTTACTTCCGTGCATTTGATTCCTGAAACTTCTCCGAAGGCGGTAAGCCGTGACGTAGGCTATGTCGCAATACCTGACGGAACTAAGATTTCTCTTTGATTCTTTACCTTTTACCTACACGCACTTAGACTTTTGATAAAATCATGCACTTTCTGAAGAAAGCACCAACTGAAGTTGGCAGTTACAGCATTTGTTGCGACAAAAAGATTCAGACATGCATGAGGCATCTCAGATTTGCTCATGGTTGCGACGAAATCAGACTAATAAATCGTTATATATTCAATTCAAAAATTTTGAAACTTCACTTTCACTAGATATCACCTGTATCATTGGAAAGGTCACAAAAAAACTATATACCGTATACAACATATAAATGAGTAGCGCGGAGTTTGTGGTCTATAATATATGGACGGTTAAAAGTTTATAATTTGAAGTCTATATATTATATGGTTATGCTAAAAACAACCCAATACTATCATGTGGTACTTCGTAGCATTTTCCTTATATTTATTTGGGAGTTAATAGCCAAAAAATTGGCCAACCTCGTACCCAGGATCTTTCTTTGGGAAAGACCCTGGCTGCGGCTGGTCACGTGCTTCATCAAAAATTTAGCGCCTGAGGGGGTGTGGGGAAAGTATCAAATTACATCAACATGCTTCCAGTGGGATATTCGTTAAAAACATAGATTTTGCGAATTATTACGTTCAAAATACTTGCTAATTTTTGTTTATTTTCTTTGCTTTGAATTTACAAGAACATTGTTACATTCTTACTTACAGTCAAGACTGTCAAGTCAAGAAACCAAGCAAATCGTTACTCGCAGTGCCCTCTCGTGTTGTTATTCAATGCATGCTCTCTTCACACGCGAGAGCGGTTATAACAAACGTTTGTTGTAATGTTTTTAAAATAGGCCATTACATTTGTCTTTTTTCTTGTAAACGTTGATACGCTTTGCACCGATTCACTTGTTACTACGCGTCATGTTTATAAGATTTTTAAAAGAAACAGTTTGTCTAGGACTGGCCCAAATATTAGCAAATGTAAACATTTGATAATAGCCGAACAGAGAAATGTCCATAAGCATAGAGGAAATTTCAGTCATTGATTTATCTGGATTTACTACATAAATTCGTATTCGGTAATTATAGTAAGACTTCAGCCTTTTTCTTGGTCTCTATTAATCATTATATTGTGCTAATATACTATAATCTATATCACAAATTTACAGTGTCAGATGCGCACAGACCGTCATTTGGCGTGATACGAATAGACATAAATTTTCGAGTTTTCTACTTCTACTAACATTTTTAAAGTTTTCATTGTGAATCACCTGTTTATCTCTAATTCATTAATCATTTGCTACTTATATTTATTTGATAGTGTCAATGTCATATAGTGAATAATACGTTTACACACAAGCAATCCTGGATATGATATAGACGATGCAAGCTGTCCATTAAAAAATAACGGTATTCTATTTCACAAAGCAAAAATTTAAATCTCACTTGTATATATTAAGAATGCATATAAAGCAAAAAATTAAAGCTTATTCATGTCAAAACGAAAGCTGTTTACAAAATTTATAAAGGTGGTGAACACTACTAAACAGTGCTCATTGAAAGACATGTATAATTTCGTGACATATAATTTGCCGTTTGACTTATCTTTGGTGTATGATTTTAATACCGTAGATTTTCAACAGACAGCTATACTTTGACATATACCATGATCGTTGGATTCAGCAATGCCAAGGGCCAATTTTATAGTCTTTTGACGGGCTTTAAGTTTTTTGATAAGGCCTTTATATAGATCAACAATCTGGATACAGTTGGCGATATTTCGGAAATCAAAAGATCTCGCTATTTCGTTGCAATTCCACATCTCATCAATAAATAAATTCTTTTGGTCCGAGTATCAGGATAAACTTTAATACTAAATAAATAACAACCACACTGTTCGGTCTAGAGATATATATTTTCTTGTAGGTTTAATCACAGTTTAATATTGCCACGCTACACAAGCGGCAAGCGTGCTTTCTTTGGCAAGTCTGTAATGAAATCTGATCCAACTTGCTTAAATTGTAACTCGACACCAGATTATAGAGTAGAACGTCACGATATAAATATTAATTCAAGAGTTCTCTTTATAATTACGATTTCTTGTTGCAAATTTACAGTAAATTTCATCACTCAAAGTTGCAATTTTAAAACGCTACAAACACGCTCCTTTCCCACCCCTCTCACAGTTACAATTAAATTTACCTCCCAGAATCTGGGAGGCACGTGACCAGCCGCAGCCAGGGTCTCTCCCAGATGACAGACGGAGAGACCCTGGGAACGAGGTTGAAAATTGGCTTGATACATCGTACACTTGCGATCTTTCCAATGATACAAATGATATCTAGTAAAAGTGAACTTGAAATTTCAACTTTTTGTAGGGGATTTATTAGGTAATTAAAAAAACCGCTATATTTCTTCGCAACCATGAGCAAATCTGAGATGTCTCCACATGCACATCTACATTTTTTGCTGCATCAAATGCTATAGCTATGCTAAATTTGGTGCATTCTTCATAAAGTGCACTATTTGATTGGTCGCCAGTAAGTCAAGGTCAAGGCCAGGGTTGCGAGGATCTGATCCTATAACCCCATCCTGACCCGCAGTGGGACATGACTGGTTGAAAACCACTTGAAGTTTTGAGAAAAGTTCAGTGGCGCTTTTGTTCACTCTGTATATAGATAATTAATACTAGATAGATGCTTATTCTTGCGCTATAAACCGACCTGACATAATTGTGTGTCTATGCTGACCGATGGGCAATGCCAATGTCAAGAAAAAGAAACTTTCAGACCCTACCCACTCTAATTGTTTCAGGATGTGAAACCGGAACCACGATTTTTTTGTGTACAAACAGGCACATGTCAGCTGAGCGCAATTGTTATCTTTTGAAAATGATTCTGTTGAAAACACATGCTGATCGTCTGGCCATTACAAGATATAGTACTGATCCTTTTTATGGCGGTTAAACGGTAAAAACATCAGTAGATTTTAAATTAAACTTCCGCATTAAAGGTTGTTTATATTGGACCGTGTACTATATAAAGAGGTTCTATCATATTCATGCCTACACTCTTTTTTCATGTTTTAAGAGGAAATCTTCGAAGTTGTTTATCGGAATTAAACGAGCTATTACTAGGGGCCTATACTATTATAATTATTAAAAAAAAGAAGCAATTAGTATATTATATGGGCGAATTAACTGAACTAAGAAAATAATAGTGATTTGAAATTACTTTGGTGAGACCTCGTTTTAGTAAAAGTCACTGGTTTCATATGATTTTCTCAAACAGTTAAAATTTATGAGCGAAAGTATTAGGAGTAGACACGTATAGGACAAAAGCAAAAAAAGAATAAACAGAACTCAACCACAGAAAAAAGCTCCTCAAAACTATCAACTGATAAACATTCTTGTAGGCGGACACCTTCTGCAAGTTAAGGGGAACGGTAAGTACTTGATATGTCATACCTAATTTTAGTCGGTTAAAAAACTTAAACTAATTAATTTTATAAAAGGTCGTAAAAAACAGGTTTTGCTTGTAAATGTAATAAATTTGTCATGGTGCATGCTACGCCTTTCTAAGAAAAAATGCCTGAACTCATCAATCAGATATGAGTATTTGCCGAATGTTGTATTATGACTGACTGAAACGATCGTAGTTAATTATTAAAATTTATTACTGCATATTTAATTAAAAAAATAATCATTATAATTTTTTACAAGACTAGACCTTCCCATGGTAAGCATGGTACGGCAGGGCCTGCGGAGGAGGCAGGCTATGGGATACTAAGTGCGCAATGGGAAGACCAGCTGTCTACTAAACCCCACACGGATGGGACCCAAAGAATTTAACGTTGTTCCGAGTTTTTCCTTCTGCGCAGTAGTATTTGAATTGGAGCACGATTCTAATCAAAGAAAGTCGTTTTCTTTAGGTTCTAATGCTGTCATTGTGAAATTTTTCATTCGGTATTTAATGTTATACCATAGCTATTTTATTACAGCATTTTAGAACTCTTTGGCTCCCAGAAGAACGCCTGGGAACGCGAGATTGATGACAACGCTTTTCGTTATTTGTTACATCGCCGTTTTCATTTGTTACAAATTTGTAACTGCGCCGTTATATTTGCAAAACAGCTCTGCTATAATTTGCATAACTGTGCTATTATTATTTACTACAGCAACGGTCTACGTTTCGTCATGGCACTCTCGTAATTCTATCGGCTACTACGCAGATGCAATTCCTTTTTTCAACCGTTCTACTTTAGAACAGCAGGCCTCACATTTCAGGTTGGCCAACGATATCAGGAAGGCATGCAGGGACATAGCCAGGATTAGCAATCTACCCGTCCAAAAGTGCTGGACCAGGTATGTCCCCCTCCCCAAAAACAACATTATGTTGCCCTTGAATTTTGAAATCAGATCTTCATCTTCTACTAAACGTGATTCTTAGCAGTCAAAATAACACGTGTAAAACTGCACTCAAAATTGAAGAGCAAACAACACAATTGACCTCACTAACATAATCGCCGGAGTTATTCAAATTAAAATCAACTTAAAACACTAAATATTTCGCAAATTAATACATAGGAAATTGTAACTTGTTTGCTTGTGGATGTAATGTGCAAGGATGTGCAGTGACTGTTCAATGAATATGTTATGGCAAAATTTAAGCTATGGTACAGTTGTACCAATAAACCTTAGAAGTGCTTACGTCACGCAATCATTTCTGGAATGCACAGTGCATTGTGGGATACATACTTGACGTAACCACTTCTAAGGCCCATTACTAAAGACAAAATACTGGAGATTTTAACATTTTCCCCCGTTCACATTGAAAAATAACCGTCTAAAAGACGGGCGGACGGGCCTCTGGCTCAGCCCATAAAGAAAGGGAAAAAAATTGCCGAACTCATGTGAGTTTACATACGATATATGCAAATTTAAAGCATACTTTTAAGTATGATTAAAATCACGGCTTATGCATGATTTAAATATGTGATAAAGTCCTAAAAACCCTATAAACTATCGTCATTCATTGCCTGCATGACGATCACCCGCGACGCCGCTTCTTTGTTTCGCCCATTATTCGGGTATTCCGTCAATAATGGGTGAGACGAAGAAGCCCAGGTAAATCCCTTTCAGCCATTCTGGCTATGTGATTCAATGCATGACTGAGTAGCGATAAATGGTATTTATCATCATACCTCGTTATCGTGCAGAACTCACGATCTCTTCATACAATTTTCATGTTGTCCTCGAATGCCTGTAGTACTGTACTGATCACGGTTGTAAATCAGTTGACTCCTGGAATAAAATATAAAATACTTCAGGGAGAAAGTTGTCTTTCGTTAGAGTGCCGGTAAAGCTTTAGGTTTTGGCCAACACTCGTTTGCATGCATGGATGGGGCACAGGATAATGAATACGAACTTATAACCGTTTTTAGGGAAGCACGACAACGTTCGCACGAGACTGGTGCCTAGTAAATTCGCCTCCCCCCCCCCCCTCAGAAATTCGTTCCCCTGGGGGGCGAATTTCCAAACAATATTATCCTCCGGCGGGACGAACTTCCCAGGAATATAGCACCTTTAGGAATTTCTCTCTCCCTATAGATGGCCACGAACATAAGCTGCAAATGCAGTTTGTATTATTCGGTGTCGGTATTTGTTCTGCTAATCCTTTGTAATAGATCTTTTCTTATTAAAATTTCTGACACAGGCGCAAGCATCAAATTTGAGCAACAGCTGTAGGGTACAACGAACATGTACGGACTTGCTGATCCACAAACAACAACAGAACGTTGCAACTCGAAACCAAATAAAACAACATTTAATTAAACTCATTTTAATTAAAAATGTTGATTACTCCGCATGCATCCGATCTGGAAGGGAAATACATGCCTCACCAAAGGGCCTCACCAAAGGCAATTACTCAAATCACTTCTGAGAAATTCGGGTAACTGCACTCCCAAAATTAGGAAAAAATAAAATGTTGGGAAAATAAAGAAAATTCGGGCAAATTTATCATGAACAAAATTTCGATCTATAGACACGTCTCGACAAACATTTCACCACAGCTTGAAAGAGCATCACAAAATTAGTAATATTCCGAAGTTTCGTTGCGAAATGTTGTAAAATGCGTTTAATATAGCCCTGCGAAGTTTGCCGCGGTTTTCAGTCATTTTGTATTACGCACGAGTAATTGATACCGTTGAAAAAAGGTATCAATTTCCCGTGCGTAATATAAAATGACTGAAAAACGGCAAACTTCGCAGGGCTATATTATCCGCATTTTACAACATTTCGCAACGAAACTTCGGAATATTACTAATTTTGTGATGCTCTTTCAAGCCGTGATAAATTTTTTGTCTAAACTTGTCTAGATCAAAATTTTGTTCATTAGGGAATAGGTACGTGGAAAGTGCACTGACCGCACGTCGTGATCTCTAACACTGCTTAGAGCAACGAATTAAATTAACTTATTCAATTTATGCATCACAATTGGCATGTGCGTGATCGCGAAATAGTTTCGTGACGAGTATGCGACGGCTTATAGGTTCGATCAGGAATTAATGCCATATATTCACGCACTGTTATGTGGGCAATATGAGGTGCGATATCCGAGCTCCCGACGGGCGGGAATTTGTATGAGAAATTAGGTTTTATAGATCATCTTTCTATGCCATCGCTGGCAAAGCACAAGATATGGACTGGACTTGTGGACTCAAAATTCGACTGAAATTTGGTCAAATTTCGAAAACCTGGACCAAGACTGGACTTGATTTCAATATAAAGATTCGCAAGTTGCGTTATTCGTATCATATTATCGTAACAGTAGCCAGTGAAGATGCATACTGAAACAATTATATTTATTACAGCAAGCAGTTTCTTATACTGCCATAAATTTTCGAGATAGTCTAATCTTCGCGCCTCGCGCCTTCGCGTCTTTTTGTCGCGTCTCGCGCCTTTTTTTCGCGCCTTTTTTTCGCGCCTTTTTTTCGCGCCTTTTTTGCGTCTTGCGCCATTTTTTCGCATCTTTTTTTCTATGCTTGTTTCGCGCCTTTTTTTATTAGTCCACTGATCTGAAATAAGACTGGATAACGCATCTATAGTAAGCAAAAGTGAGTCACCGGCCGTCATCCGATTCTGGGGCCCCACTTTTGTATAGATTTGTATTACAGTATATGGTTGTTGTTCGCGTTTTTTGCCTTGGCTACGTTTCTGACCGGAACAGAAGCATACAAGAAGAATTTTGAGAAAAAAATTTGGAGTATTATGGCTTTATAACGCCTCGAAACGGGATTTAGTGAAGGATTCGAGAGCCTCAGAACGACTCATATACCATGTGGGACAATCAGGAAGACAGGAACTAAAGGTCGGAACACTGATTCATGGGTGACAGAAAAGTTTGATTGCTGGTATTGGCAAGATTTGAAAGAGATATTCCGTCGACGTCTTCGTCTAACGGGCGGATATTTCACAGCACACTCCCTATCGTCTAACGGGCAGATATTTCACAGCACACTCCCTATCAAGGCTTTTCAGCGGTTACATTATGAATAGATTGATAGAACCGGACTGACGCAGACCGAGGTAGACTTTGAGCTTACAAATGGCGCTTGAGCAGCCGCTATTAGTCCATACCTCATTAATGATCTGTCTCCAGAGTCCAGACCTATGTGCCTAACCCACCCTGTCAACTTTCCCTGTGGGAGGAAACACGGAGTACCCGGAAAAAACCCACGACTTTCGGCAGAGCGTTGACTTTTACTCTTTTTCACATGAGGACTGGGTTCGAGTCACATTGAGAAGTTCTCACTGAGATTTGAATCCACGGCCTTAGAGGTGAAAGGCTAACCACTTCGCCACCGAAGCCCCGTTAAAACCACACAGGGTTTTAACGGACTTCCACCACAATTTAGGGTTAGAGGATTTAAGCTCTTTGACTTTGGTATCGAAAAACTTACTATGGCTAAGTTTTCGTTCGCGGTTAACACGATTGCGAAGACTTTTAAATAACAGATCTTGGCCGTCGGCTAACACTTTCCGACGTTGGTGGATTAGCGACTTCAAATGGTGGGTCATCGGCATGGTGGAACTTTGGGACCTTGATCTTTATTTCAATATTATTATTATTAGATAATTGATCTTTATATCAGATCAGTAGACTACTATCTCGAAAAAAGCGCAAAACAAGCATGGAAAAAAAGACGTGAAAAAATGGCGCAAGGCGCGAAAAAAGGCGCGAAAAAAAAGGCGCGAGGCGCGACAAAAAGACGCGAAGACTATCTCTAAATTGATGCTTGTGATGTTACTCTGAGTGTATATCCACACCGGGCAAGCTTGAAAAATATGCCTGACCACGGTGGGAATCGAACCTACGACCTTTGGAATACTAGCCCAATGCTCTGCCAACTGAGCCGCGCGGTCACCGAGCTGATGCCCCCCCCCCCCCATTTTTCTCGTCGGATTTGGACAAATTAGAAAATTGACCTTGAAGAGAACTGGGGGGGACGTGTCCTCCCCAGTCCTCCCCGTGGCGCCGCCACTGCATAGCTGGACCTCGTAATGACCCTGACCGCCCGGTTCTGTAATTTTTGTAGTTTAGAACTTAGCGTTTCGCCAAGACCATCCCAGACCGAGCAGCAGTAGTCAAAATGAGGTTGAATCAGTGCTTGGTATACTTGGATAACCGTGTTCGTTGAAATGCAGGATCTTATACGTTTTAAAGCCCCTATGGCTGAAGCAATTTTTTTACATAGTTTGTCAGTATGCTCAGACCACATAAGGTGATTATCAAGATGGACACCCAGAGATTTTACCGAAATAACTTGGTTGACCATATTACCGTTTATCTCAATATCTATTTCATTATTTAGTGTTTTTATTCTCTGTCTAGATCCAACTACCATGAATTCTGTTTTTACAATATTTAAGCTTAGTTTATTAGTGGTTAGCCAATCGCTTAGACCTTTCAATTCGGTGTTAATGACATTTTGGAGCTCTTTGGCAGAGTCGGATGCATAACTAATACTTGTATCATCTGCGAACATTCTTGCAGTTGTATGATTAAGACAGTTCGGTAAATCATTAATGTAGATGAGGAATAGCAACGGCCCTAGGCTGCTACCTTGAGGTACACCGCAGGCCACTGGCACAGAATCTGACAGTTGACCGTTTACCCGGCACTTTTGAGTTCTATCAGTGAGGTATGAATAAAACCAAGTAAGACTGTTTTCGTCAATACCATAATTTTTAAGCTTTTGTAGGATAATGATTATATCAATGTTAATTATATCAATGTTATCTAATAATAATCATGATTTTTCTGTGTTGGTGTAATGTACTCAGGTGAATATGATGCTTGTGATGTTACTCTGAGTGTATATCCACACCGGGCAAGCTTGAAAAATATGCCTGACCGCGGTGGGAATCGAACCTACGACCTTTGGAATACTAGCCCAATGCTCTGCCAACTGAGCCACCGTGGTCAGGCATATTTTTCAAGCTTGCCCGGTGTGGATATACACTCAGTGACTCAGAGTAACATCACAAGCATCATATTCACCCGAGTACATTACACCAACACAGAAAAATCATGATCTCTAAATTTTCATACTCACGTCAACGTGCTGTCTCGGGTGCAGAGATCTTAGTATCTTACTTGAAAAAAGAGTGATCTTGGCAGCCAGGACGAAAGTTTCCCCCATGCAAATATAGGCATGCAACCCGTATGACGCCAAAATTCTCATTGAAACAATTTACTGGGAATCGCAGTTAATATAAACATTTAAAATATCAGATGGTTTACAATATTCAATGTTTTATCACGCATCAGATCTCAGTTTACAATTTCACACTTCGACCTATTCACGGCAGTTACTATTAAGAGGGTCTGAATGGGGTTAACTGACTACTGACATTTGCCTGAATTTTTGACCGACAACTGACAAAATATCCTGACTACTGAGAAATGATGAAAAAAATTAGAAGTCAGCATTTTGCAGTAACTGAATACTGACAGCTTGCAATATATCGCACTGACAACTGGCTTAATTAAATTTTAGCTGACAACTGACACCCAAAGACCCCCATTAAGACCCTCCATTAAGCCAGCACTCAGCACTGTGTCAGCAGTGAATGCAGAAATGTATAAACAATATGGTATTGGTATAGTTTCAAAATCCACTAGGAAATGAACCCATAGACATGAAGATATACAGTGATAATACCGAATATTGCTTGGAAGTTTATAAGGCTTAAGCACTGATAAGAAGTCCATAAGTCTACGAGTCCACAAGTCCAGACCCAGTCCATCTTTTGTACTATCCCTGAATCGCTAGCGGCAATCAACAAGTCAGTACTGATATCAGTAGAGACCAGTGACACCACTTTCAAAATACAGACAGGTATCACAGGTCAAATATTATCATATTGATACAAAAAACTCATTAGGTTTAAATTAAATATTCTGTTATGCGCTTCTCATCATGTATAGACGTAATAGACCATTTTCATAATACAGACACTGTCTGGTTAAATATTCTCTTATGTACATTTTAATAAACTTTCTTGGCCTCGTTCCAATTATAAAATTCTACTCAATTTCAGTCACAAAAACGAGGCTAAGAAAGGCTTTTTAAAATGCACATAAGAGAATATTTAAACCAGTGTCTGTATTATGAAAGTAGTCTATAAATGCTAATTAACCATGGCAAATATTGTCTTGGCGGTTAAACAAAATATGGAGTCTTGTATTCCTACATAGCTTTCATTTTTGGTATTTAGGTGCACATATATAAACACATATTATGGTTTTGTTTGTTGTGCAAAACACAAAGTTATGAGAGATTTGGATCCGTGAGAGCCTATTTCAGCAGTGTTTGTTATACTGATCCGATCGAAAGCTTTCCAAAACAAAAACGCGGTGTTTTCCACATAATCAAACATATACAGTTGCACCAATTTCCAACCGGAACTGGCCAGAATAAACATCTCATGTTTCGAGGATTGAATTTCAAATCCAAGGGCGTGTTGTCTGCTTTGAAAAATTCCACATACGATTAGAACAAACCATGAATAGCTCAAAGGACGCAAAACAACTGGAATTTAACAAACTAGAATGGAGTACAACGTCGTTCAAAGTTTCGGATTTCCTACGAAAGTTTACATTGCCGCAAGTTGTCAAAGTTATGGAAGGTTTTTATGGCGACGATGAAGATTCGAGTCTGGGAGCAGATCAGATACTGTCGCTACACTGTATAAAATCTACAGATAAGTTAGTCGGACGAGACTATCGAGGAAAGGAGGTCAATATTCCGCTTCGTTGTCAGAATAAAGTCGAAGTGCGTCCATCGAATTTGAAAGATGTTTACGAGAGCGTCGAGGAGCTATGTGCTGCGTTTCCGCGCTATGTCCGCATCTCACAAGGTATATAATATATTTATACTAATCGTATAATGATTAATAATGGTAAGTGGGGTTCACTATAAAGTACTATAGTGCAACATAGGGTGGTCGTTTTATACCAGCAGTTATCAGACGGAGAAAGTGTTAATTCCTTTCATTATTTGTAGAGTATAGTGTCATTGACCATCATCTGCTTCTCTGTGTGAACACTTACTGAAACCATAGTTATATGCTGAAACACACTTTAGTCACTTTAGAATGGACCATTTGCATTATAGACTAAATTTTGATCTGGACAAAAATTTCATCACAGCTTGAAAGAGCATCACAAAATTAGTAATATTCCAAAGTTTCGTTGCAAAATGTTGTAAAATGTGGATAATATAGCCATGCGAAGTTTGCCGGTTTTCAGTCATTTTGTATTACAAACGGGAAATTGACAGCCCAATCGGGTGTTGGGGCATCAATTTCCCGTTTGTAATACAAAATGACTGAAAATTGCAAATTTCGCAAGGCTATATTATCCGCATTTTACAACATTTCGCAACGAAACTTTGGAATATTACTAATTTTGTGATGCTCTCTCAAGCTGTGATGAAATTTTTGTCTAGATCAAAATTTAGTCTATAATGCAAATGGTCCATTAAGAATGACGTTTTTTATAAACGGTTGTTCAAAGCTGGATTAACGGTAACCCTGGGTTAAAATTTAACCTGCTGTTTCAGTTTATGTATTTTTGCACGCCTGTGTATTGCAAAACTTCAGAGAAGGAAACTCCTACTGATCCAGACCAGAGCTCTAAAGAAATATTTTCAAATTTATAAACAAGCTTCCCACCGTGGTCAGGCATATTTTTCAAGCTTGCCCGGTGTGGATGTACACTCAGAGTAACATCACAGATCACAAGCATCATACTCACCTGAGTATATTACACCAACACAGAAAAAATTATAAACAAGGTGTTGGGAAGTTTGCTTTCAATTTTAAGTTAACCTAGGGTTACGCTAACCCAGCTTTGAACAACTGGCCCAAGGAGTTAATATCACAAGGGGAAGTGCAGCCGCATGGCCGTGTAAATTAATGTCATCTACACCAACTAAGACAAATAAATAACCAAAATCAGGACTTTATGGGGTTGACTTATTCACATTGCAAAACACAGACTGTATGTCTCATTTTTTCTGTCGAAATATTCTCAGAGTGCTGCTGACTCCAGGGGCGTCAGAAGCGGGGGACCCACTTTTTAGTTGGGGGGGGGGGCGCGCTAAGTGTCCCCCCCCCCCTTTTAGACCCACCCACCAC